ACACCACTTGCTATTATTGCTAACAGTGTCATGCCTCTTGATATGATATTTGCAAGTAATGCATGACATGGAAATATTATTTTGATTCCGCCGGAGGCATCTACAAAGAATAATCCCATTATACCAGAGTTGACTTTTTATAATATACTCTTGTAAGTTTGTTCTTGATTAGGATTTAACTTTGATTGTGCTCCCTCACACACTTGTATAGCATTTTGATTCTTAGTAATGTACTAACCTTCTTACTTTGTGTTCTAACGCTCTTTTTATGTAATAAATTTATATACTCTACAATTATTTTTAACTTGAAGAAGAATTTTACTCCTATGATGAATTTTAAAAATAATTGAAATAGATTCTCTTGCTAAATAATTAAGTAAATATTTAATTATTTGGTTTTAACATAAAAAATAATTTATTCTATGTTGATTTAGTTCTTAATATTAGTTCATCTCTTGTTTTGAATATTTAATCTTGATTATAATTTTATCTACCTTAAATTTTATTTTCAAAGAGTAAAAGATTGATATGGCATTTCACTTTTAGATCGTTATGTTTGTAGAATTATTAGTGGTATTGACTCTTACCAACCATTTTTTTCTCTTTCTCACACATTAATATTCTTAAATATTTTCTTAGTTGTTGTTTGATAATTGAGTATTTTTCAATATTACAGGAAAAATTTGTTTAAAAAATATTATTTAAGTAAAAATAAATTCAAATATAATATAAAAATATATTATCATGGGGGTACTTTTTTCTCAATTTCAACACTTTATGCAGTTAATATAATATTTTTTAATTGTTTTATGGTATTAAACATTATGGAGTGGTAATGTATTGCCAATACGGATGATTCTTATAAAATTAATTTTATTAAACCTCCATACATATTTTTAATAAGAATTTAATAGACAAAATTTTATTAATTTTAAATTATTAAATATTAATAATTAGCATGGAAGATATTGTATTCCAAAAAATAAGTTATTACAGTTACGTCCTTTCCCTGTGAGTTCTTTTGCTTAATATTTTAGGGCTATTTTGGTATATTAATATTGTATTTATATTTTTATAATAATATAGGCTCTCATTTTTCTAAATGGATTTGGATAGTATAATACATTCTCAAATTTTAATTAGTAATAGGACATTATAATTAGTTTTCAAATTAAATTAGTAATATGAATTTTTAAGAAGTATATCCTAAAAGTTATAGGATTACATGACTAAAGATATTTACTTATTCAATTTTATATGAATTAGACAGCCCGAAAGTAATTATACTAATAGGATTCCTAAAGGTAATCATGTAGGATTCCTAACATGTAGTATTATGTCCTAAAACTAATAGGATTATAAGGCTAATATCTACCATTCAGGTTATGTCCTTTTATTATGAGTTATTATGCTTAATATTATAAGGTTATTTTTGTAAACCGACATTGTATTCATGCTTTTATAATAACTAGGCTCTATGTTCGTGCGATGCACGAAATATCTTGTGCCATAAATTATAAACTTCCGATCTTGCATCTAATCAAGCGGCTTCGCTCCATTACAACTTGCTCCAGTAGTTGTTAATGTAAGTCTAATTTATCGACATGTATTTTTGTAAATTCAAAAGGCTGAAACTTGATTTGGTTTATTATCTATTATTCGGCTTAAATCTCTTTTAATGATAAGATAAAAAAAAAAAGTTTAAAATATGTGCTACAAGATACCCATCAGCATCATGTCTTCTATTCCCACGAAATCAAAAAGCATTCCATCATGTCTTCTATTCCCATTGATCTCTTAGGTTGTGATACCAATTAATATAAAAAGTTCAAAATGATAATGTCCAAGAGAATTTGACAAATATCATATTTGTAGGGTCGGCGTATGTGTAGTTTAAACCGAAAAGAAATTTCAGACTTAGGTTATTTACATATTTATCCTTAACTAAAGGTCGACTAATGTTTGAGAAATATTTTTAGATAATAAAATTTTATCAAACATAAACTACTTGAGAAAAAGTCAGTAACAAAGAAGAAAAAAAGATCAATACTTCGTCTATTGTCATACCAATTAATATAGTCCAAACTCAAGGTTAAAAGGAATAGTTCAAACCGATAAAGTCTCAAATGAATTTTACCCAAAATCAACTTTGTAAGTCGACATATGTGTAGTTTAAATCGAAAAAAAATTCTAGTCTTGGGCGATTTACAATTATATCCTTGAATTGTACAAATACTAAGGTCATAAAAGTCGATTAATATTTTGAGGATATTTTAGTCGTTTAACATTTAGCATAAATTATTTGTACTTTTATAACAATATAGATAGATATAGATAGATAGATAGATATATAGATAGATATACATGGAGTGCACGAAATCAAGCACATTAGACCAATCAAGAAGGCCCATGTTGAAACTAGGCCCATATGCTTATTAGAGGTAATTAAGAAAGAGATCTTTATGCAAATAGTCTGCCTAATTCATAGTGTATACTTTGTAGCCGATACATATAAATTATATATTTATTATACACATATCATATCATACATTATTCTATCATGTTAAGTTTAAGCGGTTAAGTAAACGGTTATTTAGATTAATTATGCATTAAGAAAAGTCTTTCTTATCTACGTGTCAATAGTAAGGAAGGCCCATATGAAATATGGCCCAACATGTCTAGGAGAGCTCTCGACATATTTACCCAATCCAAAGGCAACAAAGCCCGATACTGATCCAAGACAAAGTTATCATGTTGGATTCATTTCTTTCACTTTAGAAAAAGGCAATTTATATGTATCGTTTTTGTGAGATGCTTTTCAAACTCTGGTTGTCATAGGGGTGTTCGTCGGTCGGTACAGTACGATATTTAAATATTTTGATTCGGTATTTTTGGTATTCGATTTTTTAAAATGTTATACCAATATCGTACCTAATTAAATTCGGTATGGTTCAGTTTTTCTCCTTTCCGTTTTGGTTTATTTGGTTTGGTAACTTTGATTTATTCGGTTTGAATACTAGATAGTGCATGGAGTCATAGACTGTAATATTCTTAATTAAAATAGTTAATATGCAAAACTAAAAATATTTTTTGACAAAAGTTTTATCCAAAACCAGCAAATATCAACCCATAGAGAGAAAACTGTACATAAAGGAATAAATTTGATCATTATAAATGTCTTGTTACTTGCTTAGAGCTAATTGATGAGCTTCGAGAATAAAGAAAAGTAAAATTTTAGATTTTTTATTTTTATGTTATAATTAATAATATGTGTATTGTGTAATATAATATATATTTTGGTATTCAGTATCGGTATTTCAGTATTTATTTTTAAAATACCATACCTAATACCAATTTTTTAAAAAACTTAAACCAAATTCTATACCGAATACCAAATACTAAATTTTTTGATTTCGGTATGATAATTCGGTATTTACCAAATTATGCACAGCCCTAATTCTCATTATATCATGCAATAAAAAAACTCGTTTGTAGAAGAAAAATAATGCAAGAAAACAAAATATTTTGCTTAAAAATATGAGTAGTTCAAGTGGCAAACATTGTTAGACTTATCACTTAGGTCACAAGCTCGAGCCATGCGAATTAAGCTTGGTATAAAAAAGGGATAGAGGAACAAACCTTTTTCCTTGAGTTTCGAAGATTGTAGTTGATCCTAAAAGTTAGGCTATCTCCAACCTTGCCTCCATTTTCTCCTTCAAAATGGACTAAAGTTACTCCAACCATTACTCCATTTTTTATTCAAAAAAAAAAATCTATTTTATATTCTTCTCTCTCTTCAATATTATATTATTATTTTTTATTTAAATTTTATTTTCTTATTTCTATTAAAGAAATTTTATCTTTTTTTCTTTTTTACATATTCATCACATATAATTTAATATAAAATTAGTTTATACCATAAATTTTTAAATAATATCATTTGTAAGTAAATATTATAGATTATATATATTAACGGATAATTCAAATAAAAGTGAAATAATTAAGATACAAGATAATTAAATACATATTATATTATGGTAAAATTCGTATTAAATATTACATAAATATTCAACTTCCACCTATAGTATGCTCTCATAAATGATTTATTAATGCATTACGAAGTGCAAAATGAGCGTCTTTGTCCTTAATTTTTTTGTGTCGAGCTAATTGCTCAAATTGGTGATTTTCATCTACTACCATTTTTACCGTTGGAGGTGGACATTCCCAATAAAATTAACTTATAATTTTACATAAAAATAATAAATGCACGAAAATTAATTTATCAAAATTATACGCCAAAGCAAAGATGTAAAATTAATATTCTAAAGATATTATATAAAGATAATTAAGTATATATAAAGAGATAAATTAAAATAATTAAATAATAAAAATAATAATAAAATAACGATAAATAGTAATGGAGGAGATGAATATTGTCACTCCAAATTTGGAGTAACACTATTCATCTCTTATTTTGGGGGCAAAAATGGAGGAGTATTGAAGCCATATTTTGGCAAAAAAAGGCTGCATTATGAAGAAATGGAGGAGGTTTGGAGATGCGCTTAGTCGAGAGAGGTTTTTCGATTATATTTTAAAAAAAGACCCCCCCCCCCCCAAAAAAAAAAAACTAGTTCAAAAGAGGGGTTGTGTGTACACATAATAAAACCTATGGGGTACAAAACCTATTTTCACGAAAGTTGGAGACCAAGAAAGGAAATATAGACAACGTTATATACCCGGCTCTCTCCTCTCCGGCCAGTGCGAATCTGTTTGCCCTAATTAACCTTCAAAAGGGTGCAAACTTAAACTTCATCCGCCGTCTACAATNCCACTAAGGCCCGGGCCCGGGACAAAATACAGCCCTACTTTCATTATAGGTATAAAAAAAATTCTCTCTTTCTATTATATATAAATTGTTTATTCTAGCTAGGGTTTGTGAAAAGTATAATTGGTTTTTATGAATCTTCGTGTTCTAGGGTTTTGAATTTTTTCATTTTGCTTCGGGTTTTTGGTATTAATTATTGTTTTATATTGTGGATCTGCGTTAGATTTTTGTTAGTGTTTGGATGATTGAAAGTTAGGCGTTTTATTGGAATATTTTGTCAACGGAAAAGGTAACGTTTGGATTTTGTTGGGTGAAAATTTGTATTTTGGGTGTGTTTAATGTTGGGAAATTATTGTTAGGTGTTTGAAACTATAGGATCTCTTTTCATGAAAAATTTAGGGTCTTAATATTGCTGCTTTTTTGAATTTTGCTTTTATTTAATTGCTTTGTGATGTGTGTCTGAGCTGAAATTGGTTTTGGGGGGTTTTAGTAGTTGAAAGAGTGGGATTTTTATGCTGAAATAATCTGAAGGGGAAGGGCTAAATCTACTATATGTTCTGTTCTGTTGATAGTATTAGCTTTACTTGGACCTGCATAGTGAGTCTTTTTGGTATTGAGATTTTAGAGATTGTACTTAGCTGAGCTAGTATTTGTTTTTATGCATTTCAGCTATTCCTATAAGTTTCGGAATCTGTTGCTGGGAATGATGGGGACGCTAACTGGCGCATTGAGCAACCTCTCAAGCAACCACCAGAGGTTGAGGTTGCTCAATGCGTCAGTCAACGTCCTCATCATTCACGAGCTTGTACTTAGCTGGGGATAGCTAAAGTTGCCTCTACTAGCTGGTGTCTCCTTAATATTTCTGTGGAAGCCACCATTTATGTCTTGTAATCATTGAGTATACTTAAACCACATGCATATTGCTTTTATTGAGAAACTTAATTCATGCTTGTTTGGATTTTTAAACTTTTGTTAAGTTCTATATCTTAAGTGCACTTTTTAGTGTTTTCACTAGTTTTTCTTATATGTGATGTTGGGCCTTTTTAAATTGTAATCTTTCTTGGTTTTTGGTTGATGAATACTTTATGGGTTTTGGAGAAGGATATGACGATCGTTATGACTTGGAATGCTGAGATGACAGCAACTTATATTGTATTCGTACTGGCTGATCATTTCTTCAACTACCCAAATTGTTTTTTTTTTTGTGGTTTTAAACTGGCTAGAAAATCATGAGTTCCAGGGAGCTTGCGGTGATTTTTTTTTTGTATGAATTCGACTATCAAATTGTGGTGAAACCAAATTGTTTTTCTTTTGGTTTTAAACTGGCTAGAAAATCATGAGTTCCAGGGAGCTTGTGGTGAAATCTTTTTTTGTATGAATTTGACTATCAACTTTTTTATTTGTTTTCATTTCACTTCTATGCTTTGCATTTATTCCCCAACTTATAATCTATTATAAGACTTTAGATCTTGAGCTTCATGTTTATTTTTGGTCCAAAGTCTTATATTTTATACTGAAGAGAACGAGATGATGAATAATGTATTATCATGATTGCTGTATGATGCCATTCATCATGTATTCGTACTGGCTGATCGTTCTAGAATTATCTGGTTATAGGGTGCTTGTTTTAAAAAATAAATTGGTTTACATTGATCTCGGGTGTGAAATCTTGAAATATGGTTTTACATCTGAAACCATTTCACTTGGGTTTACTTCATACATTCTGGACCATACAGTATCATGGAGAATGAGATGATGAATGTTATACGGTTTGATAGCTGATATGATGGCAGATTATCATGTATTAGCTCTAGCTGATCATTCTCTGTGGTGCGCCTTCAACTGGTTCTACACTTGTGTGCTAAGTAGACTTGTTATTGAATTTATTTGACTGGATACATTGTGTGTGTAGCAATGTCTGTTCTCTATTTTTGTTTCAACTTTGACATTTTCTCATCCTGATAATGAAGTCCAGAAGGTAATTTTTATCATGTTGACGTACTATCTTAAAGGCTGTCTTTGCTTTCTTTTAAAGCCCGATGGCCCTTTCGATTCTCTTCTATACTGTAGGGAGTAAAGAGGGTCGCCTTTTTTCATCAGAAGGTGCTATCCCTGTCCCATTAATGCTCCCTTCTTTGCTTTTATTTATAAAATATTATCTAGGGTCAATTTTCAATCTTGTGCATCTATATATTCGGCAAGGTAGAACCAAATCAGGACATTAAGAGAAGTCTGACTTTTTTTTTGGGTTTTATTATTTGTGGTTGGAGAATGATATGATGAACTTCATACAAGTGATTGCTTATATGATAGCACTTTATCAAGTATTAGCTCTAGCTGATCATTCTCGTTTGATTCCACACGAATTTTGTTGCTCTATTCTGTTTTCTATCATGTTATTCAATTCAAAAATTTCTTAATTTTTTGCCTTCTTGTTTCTACCAATCTGAGAGAAACTATCGGGCCTGTCTTGTCCTCTTTTCTTTTGTGTTGACGTCAATAGGGATTTTCTAAAGTACAATAATATTAGTATTCACAGTTGGTGTATGTGAGAGTGAGGGTAGATAGGTAATGTTTACAGTACCTAAATTCTACCTTGATTTTATTTGTTAAATATTATCTAGGGTCAAAAGCTCCTGCCTCGTGCACCTAGCAGAACGATGGAGAGCTTATGTAGAAATTTGAATTTTTGTTGGTTTTATTATTTGTGGTTGGAGAATGAGATGAAGATGAATATCATACGAGTGATTGCTGATATGATAGCACTTTATCATGTATTAGCTCTAGCTGATCATTCTCTTTCCATTCCGCACCAATTCCATAAAGTTATCTAATTTTGTAATTTTGATACTCTTGGACTTAACGTTGTTTTGCCTCCTTTTTTTTTCTACCCATCTAAAAGGAATTGTTGGGCCTCTGTTGTCCTCTTTTCTTTTGTTCTGGTTTGCGTCAATAGTAGTTTTGTAAGGTGGAATGTTATCAAACTTAGTGTATGTGAGAATGATAGTAGATATGTAGTGTTTACAGTAACTCCTCTGTTGAATATGGATTGATAATCTGAGTAGACATTCTCTTTTCTCTGGTCTTTTCTTATCATCCCTTTCTTTTGGATCCTGGAGTGTGTGGTTTATGCATTGTTTGATACCATGACATTTATGTTTGTGTAAGAGTTTCCTCACTCTTTTTAAACTGTGGACAGTTCATATCAGATTTGCTGCAATGAGGAGACGGAGTTACAGCCCATCTCCACCGCGAGGTTATAGCAGGAGAGGCGGGAGGAGCCCGAGCCCCAGGGGTCGTTATGGTGGTCGTAGCAGAGATGCTCCGACTAGTCTCTTAGTTCGAAATCTTCGCCATGATTGTCGGTATGCACTAATGACTGTCTTTTTCAAACGTTTAATGAGCTAGACATGAAGCATGCTATACTTTGTTTTCTTTCTGCAAAACCAGAACTGAACCGTTTTGTCAGTTTCAAGTAATTTTGTACCTGTAGTGGATCACATAGACATTGCATTTTATTAGAAATTGCTCAGATGATTCCTATCTTGAGGAACAGCTGGTGGGGGAGAGGGTGAGATGGCAAATATTTCAATAGCAGAGATGGCATTGAAGACTTTAACATTATGAGCTTCAGTAATTATATTTTTAGAGCACTNTTGTATGCAGGCCAGAAGACCTAAGAAGGCCGTTCGGGCAATTTGGGCCTGTCAAGGACATTTATTTGCCCAGGGACTACTACACTGGGTGAGCTTGATTTGCATGCGATCTATTCATCTACTAAACTTTTCCCCTTATAAAAGAAGAAAGAGAAACTGAGCAGAAAGCATACCCCTCTCTCTCTGTCTCCAAAAAATAGAAAAAGACCTATCTTTATGGTCAAGCTCTTTCCTGTCATAAGTTGCAATTTTATATTTTAGTTTTGAGAAGCTGACACCGCTCCCTACCTTCCCCCAGCCCCCAAAGTTCTAGTCTAAATTTCATTTTTGGTGAATCCGTACTGTATTTCTAATTTGAGATTCTTTTGTTTACTCTTTTTGTTATGTCAAGTTGGGTTGTGCTTTATTATTAAAATTGATGAGATTTAGCAGCGAAACTTAGAGAGTTTTGAAGACTTCAATCAAGTAGTAAGAGGTTTGTTGACACATTGAAGTAGTAAAGAGCAATCAAGTAGTAAGAGTTGAAGGTGATGTTAATGGTAGTGAAGATTTGAAGGAATTTGGATTTGAATACAATGTGAAGATTTCAAGATTTCAAGTCTTGAAGAAATTCAAGTCAATCTTTAAACTGATACATTCAAGGTCAGCAGCCATGTGCTTGCTTTATGTGCTTATGAAGACATTATTTTAGTAGGATTATTTTTACTACTGTTGTTCTGTGGCTGTTTTGAAGTCTTGGTACTCCGTAGGCTAGTCCTTTACTTTCTTTATTGTATCTTTCTTAGAATCTTGGGTCCTGATAATTGTTCTTTTTGGGGTGAGACTGAAGCTCCCAATCTAAGTGTTTGGCAATTTGGACCGTAAAACCTGGTCAGATTTATATTCTGACTTGGTTTTACTTTTCGAGCAGCCCCAGAGAGCTGTAGCTATGGTTGATGTGCAGAACTCCATACGGCAGCTTATAGAATCTCAAGTTTTCTAACTTTCTTCATTTGTTCCCACATCCTTTGCACAGTCAACCACGTGGCTTTGGATTTGTCCAGTTTGTGGATCCTGCTGATGCTGCAGAAGCTAAATATCAGATGGATGGGCAGGGTTTTCAAGGTCGGCAACTGACTGTGGTTTTTGCTGAGGAAAACAGGAAAAAGCCAACTGAAATGAGAGCTAGGGAACGTAGTGGAAGGTAATACTTTTTATTTCATTTGCTTACATCATATTAGCCCATTTAATTTCTGTCTTGGGTATCCAGAATTTGGTTGCTACTCAGTGGACAACTACTTGAATCTTGGTTGTCCTCCATTTATGGCGTTGAGCATAGTGTCCGAAAGTAAATATCTGGTAGTTTAAAGATTAGTGATTTGGTGCTAGGCAATAATCTACCTCACATTTCCTGTTTCCTATATTTTGGTCATTCTAGTTAGCATTCCTCCATTTTAAATCAAATGATTAAATGATGATAGATGTGATTCTTGAATTGATTGGGTTGATTGTTTTGCATTTTAATGTTTATCCATTTAACTTGATTTTCTTGTAGTGGTAGGAGCCGCAGCTATGATCGGAGACGGTACTCACCTCAATATTCCAGATCTCCACCTCCACGTTACGCAAGGTCACGATCCCGCAGCCGTGGCTATATTCCTAAAAGGAGGCAGTACTCTAGGTATGCCAGAGTATTATTTTATGTTTATTGTACGTTTATGTTGTATTAAATCCTTGGTGTAACTAAAGGTGCTCTAGGTCTTTAATTACATGTGTGCATCCAACAACCAACCAAGGTGTTAGCCTATCTGCTGATGTTAACTTCAATTTTGTGCATCATTGCATGTTGCTTGGCTTATATTATCACTTGGGTTGCTTTTTGTGCGAAAAATTATATTTTAGATTTTTGTTCAAATCCAAATTTCCATCTTTTTGTTAATGATGATTTACTCCTCACTTTGCAGGTCTGTTTCACCTGAAGAGAAAAGATACAACCGTGAGAGATCATACTCGCATTCCCCTGCAGGGGACATTTCTCCACCGTATAATGGCTCAAGGAGTCGCAGTCAAACTCCAGTCAGAGAGCATTCACCATATGATGATGGTCGAAGGAGCCGCAGCAGAAGTCCAGTTAAGGAGCGTTCTCCGGTTAGGGGTCGCAGCAGGAGCCCCAGTCGCAGCAGGAGCCCAGATGACGCTCGTTACTCGAGGGATCCAGATCATGACGTGTCTCCACAACACTGAGCTATCTCTTGGAGATCAATGCTGTAGTAGTTTGAATCACTTTCTAGTTGTATGGCTCTTTGCTGTTTCTTTGTCTATGCCCGAGTAAAATATAGTTGGTATTGGCTTGTCGTGTGTAGTAGACAACATGAATTCTGATTGGCTATGACATTGAACGATTTCTAGAAGTGGTTGATTATGCTTGTTACTGTTGAGTTTAGGCATGTTTTTGAGAGCCAATGATTTCTAATTCAGTTGGTTTTATGAGTATTATAAATGTTCTTTTTACTACATATAAAGTAAGTTCAATATGCTATCTTTCAGGGTAAGACGTAGGATTGGTAAATATAAGATATATTCTCCTACTTTGCTCCTAAGTTTGAGAAAGACAATGATTTAATCCTCACTTCCCAACTGTCAGCCTTTGTATGCCTGGACAAAGTGCAAACATTTGACCAAATGAATGACTTCAATCCTATTATCTAATCCAATCTTGCAAATACATTAAAATAAATTTACATGTATATTTTTACGCTTAAACTCTTTTTGCTTTTCCTATGTTTTTTAAGTAGATACGTTATAGACTCTATTTCCTTGTTGGAAGAACACTTCGTATATTACCAATGTTTTAAATTGAGCTATCTATTTCACTAAGGGCTAGTTTGGTTTGAGGGATAATTAATATCGGGTTAAATTTGAGGTGAGTTTATCCTATATTTGTTTGGAATAAAATTATAATATAACTAAATCTGATTAGTCATTCTGAGACGGTAGTATTTTTTTATTCCTATGAAAAGGTAAAATAACTACTCTCGAAATAATTAATAATGAAATAACTTTTCTGTTAAACAACTAAAGTCATAAGCGCGTTGATAGATAAAGTTGTCCTGAAGTTCCACTCTTTACACTTGTGAGAAGGGTAAATTTCATTTAAAAAATAAATGAAAGCGAACTTTCTCGGAATGACATATTGACATTAATAAAAGTTGACTATATATCACTCTATTTTTAGCTCAGTAGGAAGGAAAGTAGGTAACTCCAGCAGTTTATAATCAAAGAAAAGAAGAAAAAACACAGTTTTTAGAGAGATGTCTATGGACACAACTACAGAAAATAGTGATTCCTTTATTTCTAATACTGATGGAATCATCTGCGGTTATTCTGATAATTCAGGATGGGGTGAAAGCATGATCTCAGATCCCAATATTACTTCGTCTCCTTCAAGGAGTGTAGACGACCGTCAGTAGCAGCAGTCGAAGCAACAGATTTCAATTGCTGTTGCTGGCGATGATTTGATTATATCATCAGGTGCATCTTCCGGGATGCAGTTTAATGCTTATTGCAATAACTGTAATAAAGATGGTTTTGAACTTTGTTTAGGTTTGAATATTGGTGGTGGGGAAGTGAACAAAGTAGCTAGCGTTAGCTCGTCTGTCCAAACCTTGATGGCAGTACAACGAAAAATCCGAAGTGTAAACAGAGGTTATTCACATAATAATAAGAATAGCAAAAGCAAGCCAAAGGTCCACGAGTGTTCAATTTGTGGGTTAGAGTTCTCATTAGGTCAAGGTTTGGGTGGTCACATGGGAAGACACAGACCACTTAAGATTAAAGCAACAAACAATAAGGTTTCCTTGAATACTGTTGATGAGATTAAGGAGGAGTCGAGAAGCATTCCATTGCTGCTTGATCTTAACTGGCCGGCGGCGCCACCGCCAAGAGATGTGGCGGGACGGATCAGATCTTCCATCTTTAACTAGATGTCTTCGGTTCAAGCTCGAAGAACGAAGAAATCCTCGATCCTTAACTTGATGTCTTCGGTTCAAGCTCTAAGAAATTCTCAATATGGAGGTTTCCCCTTAAATGATTTCTATACGAGCGAATTTGTATTAATCAAACCTAAATTTCAGGTGCTCTAGGTCTTTATAATGATTACGGATATAGAAACTATCATTAATTTATCCGACATTTTATTATCATTTTGAATTTCAGCATATTTAGTACTGGTATAGCTTATATGGTTATGTATATATAACTTTATACCAAACACTATGTGACATAATTGAAGGACTAAAATAAGCAATGAAAGCAATCTCAGTATCAAAATCACATGTAATCTAGACAACTAGCATAAACGGGATTTCACGGGTTACCTCTTGAAGCGTGAACAAAGCTCCTCTATCACGTGAGCCTCCAATTCTACAGCAACTCAATGAATTCTCCATCATCAGCATAATAAAGATTCGCGAGCATTGCACGGTCTTCTACTGTGTTACCCAAATAATATCCGAAAATAGTAATTTCGTTTGAGCGAAATTTTTTAGGAAAAAGGGTGAAAATTCCGGCCACCTTGTTCTACCTCCTCTAGGTGGAAAACTTTAAGTATTTATAGCACAAGTTTTAAGGTTTAAACCCCTTTTCCAAAACCTGTTGGTTTTTTTTTTCACCAGAAAAAAGATTCCTTTATTTTTTATTATTTAGGCACATCAGGGACCACAAAATTTAATTAACAAGGCTTCCAACTATGGAATTAATTTTTAATTTTCGAAATTAATACCCACCATAATTAATTACGAATTATTCCACTAAAAAATCGTAATTGCACTCGTTATTCAATTTCGAAATTTATCCATTAAATCTTATTTAACTCCCCATGTTAAGATTCAGATACTAATCAGTTAAATTAAATTACTTATTGATTATTTCCTTTAGTCTTTCGCTTAACTTATTTCATGTGTCGGATACAAAATCCATCAATCGGGTTTACACATGAAAACTTATAAGCTTTCATAAAGGTGTATCATCAATCTCTAAACCGAGACATGGATTCTATCAACTAACTGTTACTTCGCCAATGTACATTATTATTATTCAATTTATCAGGCATATTGACCCACGAAAGAATCTCGCCTTTTAAGAAATCAAAACAATAATAATATACAAAGTTAACAATAATTATATCAAGATTAAGAGTATAAGTATATTTAATGGCTAGAGAGTTTATTTTATTAAGTCAGTATAAAATACATATCTCTACTTGGTTCGTTCTATACATACAAAATGTACTAGCACAAGAAGTTTGAATTAAACCATTCTCATAATCAAGATAAATTATATTTAATCTTGTGCTACAATCATCCATGATGATTTGTCCAATTTCATCATTAGATTGTAAACTCAAACTTTATACTTATAAGAACCGAGAACTGATTATCTAATCTTCCGTGTATAAGCTAAACTCTATACACTAAATCATCTACTATATAAGCAAAGGACACAGATTAATATATGATCTATTTAAAATTTTATTAAAATTGAATAAATAATTATTTTATAATAAATACTATATCCAAACCAAACACATGGTTAATAGTATATATCCCAACAATCTCCTACTTAGACTTTTAACCATGACAATTATTAGAATATACTATATCTAAACGCATGGTTAATAGTATATGTCCCAATAATCTCTCACTTAGACTTGTGACCATGCATCTACAACTTTTTTTCAGGCATTCTTTTTACATGACTATTAAAAGTCTCTAAAAAATAAGATTTTGTTAAAGAATCTTGCCAAGTTATTTCTGATGCAATTTTTGTCTAGTAGTACTTTGTCGTAACTATCTAGTTTGGTATTAAACTCTTCAGGGATCCTGTTACCAAAACTATCCTAAGCGTGTATACCAAACTATGATTTTCCTTTGTATTCTCCCACTACGACGGAGTACTACTAATATTACCTTCATTACCTTACGATATTGAAATATTAGTGACTTCTTACTATAGTGTTCACTGTTCAAACATCACTCCCACTCGATAAAGGCATGTCTACTAACGTTCTCCCACTACTTAAATGCAATGGAACATCAATTCAGACATGTGAGTTTTGATGTTCTTGAACATCTAGTTATTTCTTTGCCAAGTTCCTATAAAAATAGTTTACTTCTAGGAACATGGTTTATTAAACAGCCCTTATCTAGAAAAATACATTTATTTTAACAATTGCCTTATTTTCTTTAGGACAATAAAATAAAACTCCATTCGTTTTCTTGGATATTCAATAAACATGTACCTGTCCATTCTTAGTTCCAACTTACATATCCGCTTTCCCTTTCAGCACATACGCGGGACAATTCCATATCTGAACATGCCATAGACTGAGCTTACATTCAATCCACAGTTCTATAGATGTCCCGGGTACTAACTTTGAAGGAACTAAATTCAGAATATAATTTGCAGTTTTCAGGAAATATTCCAAAAATAAATAAGGCAAATCTGAATAACACGTCATTAATCTATCCATGTACAAAAAAAACTTATTTCTTCTTTCTACTACACCACTCTATTATAGAGTTTGCGGTGTAGTCAATTGAGATGTAATCCCTTATTCTGAGAAGTAACAAAAGAACTCTTTAGAGAGGTGCTCGCCACTACAATCAAATTGCAGTAATTTAATATATTTCCTTGGTGCTTCTCCGTTTCAAGTCTTAAAAACCTTGAATTACTTAATTCATTAAGACTTACGATGCATCAAATAAATATATTAATATTTTGAGTAATCATTTATGAACGTCACAAAAATACTCAAAACTATCTCTTACCAGTATGTTCATTTAACCATACAAATAAGAAGAGATTCATTCTAGCTTATCATTAGTTTTATTTCCTTTTGAAGGGAAACAACCTTGAGTCAAATTTCCTTCCAAACAGGATCTACAAGTTGGTAGTGCCTCTACTTTCAATGAACCTTAAGGTCCATCCTTGACCAACTTGAAACCCTATCCAGATTAATATGACTTAGACAAAAGTGTACATATTATTTTTCTCAATTTTTGAAGAACATATTCTCTTATGAGGTAGACTAATATTGTTCTGTCCAGAAGAGACATTAATATACAATAACAAGGTCATGTATTCATGTACCACAAGTGATAAAATGTTTATCAAGCTCAATAACTCAAGAGTTATTTGAAAAAGAAAACAAATATCCATCTCTTATCTTGCCCAGAAATCAGAATTAAATTCCTTCTAACAAAAGGTACATATATCGCATCCTTCAAATTAATGTCTTATCACAAAAAAAAAAATTTAACAAGTAATACGCCAAATTGCATGAAGTCATTGTGGAGTTGAGATAAAAATATTAAATAGATCATAATAAGTCAAAATACTGAATAGTAAAATTCAAACTACATTCAATATTTATATACATACGTGCATCTCGAATAATAAATTTCGATGGGAAAAGAATTATTCTTGCAAAGTATATTATATAATGCAAGAATTATACAATCCAAAAATAAATAGGAGCAACTCAGATGGAGAGTATACTATTATTTTCAGTCAATTGCATATAACCTTTTAATACGAAAATTTTAAACACACTACGCATATATGTCATGCATCTTGAATATCAATTTCAATGGGAAAAGAACTACTCATACAACATATATATATATATATATATATATATATATATAATGCCAAATTATTCACTCCACTAATTGAAACAGACCCAACTCAGATGGAGAGTATACTATTAATTTAAGTCAAGTGAACATCATAATTAATAGGTCTAGTTCCATTGATTCAACATGTATACTCAAATGGAGAGTAAGTACACAATATCAATTACTAGTATTTCACTTAGTGAGCTTACAATAAATCTATCTAATATGGAGGAAGACCTAAAGTCAACGCATAAATTTATTACTCACTTGAAATTAATAGCTGAAGACATAGAAATATATTTCTATCACCACTTAATCATGATTATATTTTAGTTACAAAATTGATTCAACCTTTTAAACTCAGATAGAGAGTTAATACAGGTTATCAATAACTAGTAACTGTATCTAGTGAGTTCATAATAAATTTATCCGATATGGAGGAAGACCTAATGTCAACGCGTAAATTTATTATTTCACTATAAATAAATAAAAATGGAGACCATAGGGGTTAATTCCTATCACCACTTTATCACAACAACGGACTTTTCTCTGAGGATTAAGTTCCATAATTAAATAAAATGCTCAATACCCCATTTAAACAGTCTTAAGACGCTAAATTTAATGTTTTTCACTGCATCACAGTGAGTATTGTTCACTAGGATGTTTCTAATAAACCTACCAAATTTCAGACCAATCGGAGATCGTTAAAATCACAATCTCCAAAAATTGCGACCAAATTTGAAAAATTATCATTTTAATCATTTTTTAAGAATTTAAAATATGACCTACATTCTTATCATATACCGATTCATGTCAAATCAACATGTGTTATCATGTTCCAGATTAGATATAAATAAAATGACAGAAAGAATGACTTTTCGTATGTAAATCATACTTTAATCCGCCAAACCTCCAAAAAACTCATCTAAACGATCCCGAATCATCAAATATGATGTGGTTCACTGCATAGCAGTGATTTCTCCTTAACTGATCGTTTCCGATGATCCTACCGAATTTCAGGTAATTCGGAGATCGTGAAATTCACGATCGCCAAAAAACTAGACCAAATTCAAATAAATTATTTTTTGGCGCATTTAGGATTAAATCCATGTGATTTGCATTCTTGTCATATATCATATCAAGTTAAATCATTATGTTTAAGATTTAACATAAATATAGCCTATATATAAAGAATAACTTTTTCATATTTATAACAAATTCAATTCAATGGACTGTTTGAAAACCCATCTAAACGATCTCAAAATGTCGAAAAATAACATGATTCACTGCATATCAGCGAGTTTTTC